ACCATCCACCCCTCTCTCTCTCCTCTCTCACTGTCTAAATCTCTCTCTCTCTCTCCCTCTCTCATCGAGTCACCGTCCACCTCGCTCTCCCTCTCTCACGGTCTACCTCTATATCTCTCCCCCTTTGGCATCCATCTCTCTTTCCTTGGCATCTCTCTCTGTTCTTTGTATCGGTATGTTTGAATGTCATTTTTTTTTGAGCAACTATTCATGTTATTGAGAGACATTATTTTATTTTTTTAAAATTTTGATATCTTTATTTTCTACTTTTTAGGGTAAAAATATTTTTTGAATATTTTTTAATGTCATAATATTAAAACTTATTTGGGGTTTTATTTTTTATTTTTAATCATATGATATGCATTTTCTCATAATTTTTAATCATGTTTGTTATAATATTATAATTAATAATTACACATTGATAACCAAATCTTGTGTTTTATTTATTGATTTATTTACATTATAAAATATGTAATATATATATAGATATATATCTATATATATTTTGTAGTTGTTAATAAGTTTTTTTAAATTAGATGCTATTATAAGACATTTTAGATTTGTTCTTATTTGTATAATAAAATAATTATAAAATATAAACCAACTATTTCAAGTTTTAGACTTTTAGTATATAATATTATAGTTAATTAGGTTGTTATAAATTTGGATGAGCAGAGCAAATTAGTAAATGTTTGATACTAATTTCACTATATATGGGAAATTATTTTTTAAATCTTATATTATGGAAGTGTTTTCTAATATTTGTAAATTATTTTGATGTAACATTATAATACTACTATATAATTAATAAATAATTAAATATACAGACGTTTAGAAAGAAAAACAATGTCTAAGTATTCACCTATTTTTACAAAGTAATGAAAGTACATAATGCACTACTCCTAATTTCTTTTAGAAACTAAAAGAGCACTATTTTTAGAGATTTATAATGATTTTTTGAAAATTTTTTGAGACAAAAATTTGTTGATTGGGCCGATTTTCCGATTTGATCCACTGATTCCCTGATCCGAAACGGGTATGGTTGTGATTGATTCGAGTCACTGATCCATTTTTTTAACCTTGGTTTTATGTAACTAGAATTGATACTCTTTATACTAAAAATTTTCTTCTTCACTCTGTAAGGAATGACTCTGACCATTGATTGTAGGGAACTGATACCTCCAGATGCACTCAGATGAATGTTGATTCTTCATCTTGTTTTGCAGCTTGCTTTATATAACTTCATGATCTCTACATGTGGGAAATGCAAAGCACACCTTGTGTTTGTTGTTTTCTTTTCCAATGCAAAATTTGTGTCTTCTGCTTATGAGAGATCTTGATATGCTGACCAAGCAGTGTACTCGTATTTGTCGAAATTTTAGCTTCCTTTCCTGGTTATAGAACCTTTTTATGTATGCGCAGCTTTTAGAGTGCATTGACGATTAGCAAGCCTTGGTGTTCTGCGTAACTAGAATTGATACTCTTTATACTAAAATTTTCTTCTTCACTCTGTAGCAGTTGCAATGAGGTTTGACTTTTAACATTGGCTATTAGGGAACTCATACCTCCAGATGCACTCAGATGAATGTTGATTCTTCATCTTGTTTTGCAGGTTGCTCTGTATAACTTCCTGACCTCTACCTGTGGGAAATGCAAAAATTCTGACAGTGCAATTAATGTAAGTTGCTTATTTTAAACCTCAAGATTGGTTTTCTCTCTTTGTTTTTTCTTTAATTTTTTTCTCTTTCTAATATATCCCCTCATTCTTCATCTAATAAAAAATCAACTATTTGCATTTAATGAATACTTGATATTCTTCATTTCAAAAAAATGAATACTTGATATTATTTACTAAGCGCTGGTGTATCATTATAATCCTTTACCAATACATCCATCACTCTTGCTGTTAGTTGCGCATGATTCTGAAGAACACCTTGAATTTTTGGAAAGGATGAATTTGATTTAGGGCCTTATAATATTTTGCGTAGTTTTATGAATGAATTACAATTGCGCAATCATTTCCAAAACTTAAACAAAACTCAAAAAGCTTTGAAAAGGGTCACAAAAATTGTGCCAGGATAGTGTTGACTCAGACCATCCACTCCCACCATCCCCTATCTCCTAATCAACCCCATCCAAAATCACTCGGATATTCAAACAAAACATTGCACAAGTAGGCAATGAATGGGTGCTTCCCTTCTCCCAAGACTCCTCCCGTATACACCCCCAACAGTCCTTATCTATTGTGGCATCCACACCTATTCTGAAACCCTAATCTGCCTTTATATTGTGTACTACCCTAATTATGGCTTTCAGCAGCCAAGACATTACAAATATGCAAAATATGATCTCACTATTTTGTCTCGTATCCATTACAACCATGAAAGTACACCTCTTCTTTCTCACCTTAACAGCCTATTCATTTTAAGGAATTCTTCATTTTCTTATCCTTAGCTTGTCGTACTCAATGTCTTTAAGAGCCCCACATTTGGTAGAGGGAGGGAGGTTGATTTTCAAATCTGTGGCAGGTTTCCGTTCTATTAAGTTCTTCATGTTTTTCAAAAGTAGTGGCAGTTTTGTAAAAATTGTTGAAATTGACATCATTTTGCTGACTTCGTCTTTTTAATAATTGTGTATAGAAACAATTTATGAAATCACTGACTTGTTTACATTGTGCAAATTGAAGCTTTTGGAAGAAATGAAAAGGACTGGGGTCAAACCAAATGGGCAGACATATGTCTGTCTCCTGAATGCTTGTGCAACAGATGGTCGTATTGATCGAGTGTATGCTTTCCTTTCCTCTGTATCTGAACTTTTGACATTGACATTTATTAACTTAACCATACCATCCTGATTTAATGTTATGGAGAGTTCATTGCTTATGTCTTTCTCGTTCTCTCCTAAAATTTCATGTCAATTAGGTAGAACTGATTGTTATTCATATTGATGAATTTGTTTCCAGGTATTCGCTTTGACTATGGGTATGCAATGTATTGAGAGCCATAATGTTAGCTTCCAACGACTGACTTAAAACTTGCTTTTGGGGGATTCAGTTTTGTTAGCCTAATGAAACTAGATTAAGATATAGTGACATTTGTTATCATTTGTGGAGGTTAAACTGCCGTGTAAGCATCTGGATTATTAGTTGTCCGTCTTGAAATATTTTACAAAGAGATTTTTATCTTTTCTATGACGTATACATGCATTGTAGACTAGAGGACTTGTGAGCTGCTACATTGAAGTATTTGGAACTGGAAGGCACAGAACTTGGACTTCTATTTTACTTTTGATGTGTGTGTTATATTGTTTACTGGTTTGCTTGCCTCGGTTGGTGTTAAGCATGGCTCGAGGAAGTAAAAAAAGTTCCTAAAAGTGTACTATGGTTTGCGGCATTTGGGTCTGTTCAATTTATGTTCTTATATAAATAGCACTTCGCCAAAAGTGAGTTATAAAGATGGAGCTTGATCTGGCTCTTGTCTTCTGTTTCTCTTGTCTCATCTACTCTCATGTGATGGTGTCACATGCTCTTTCCTTCTCTACGCTTGCTCTCTATGTCTTTTACTTCTTCTGTGGATTGTTTACAGATGTGCTTCCCTGGGGAGTCAGGATCTGGGCCCATGTCCTGTAAATCCAAAAGCCTGGTAATGGGGTGCAGAAGTTGTGTCTGAGAATCTGGTGGTGAGGCCCTTATTTCTGGCAATGGGGTATTTGTAGAATTATCTCATTGATGGTTCTTTTGGAAATAAGTTGGTGAGGCATGGTTGCTGTTAAGAATTATGGTTCTGGACTGAGGCTTGGAAGATTGCCATCAGTCTAAAGAAGATTTTAGAGATAGTAGAGTGACATGGCAGATGGAAGAGATGATATTTATGGGTGGAGAAGGTAAGGTGGTTAAGCAATATAGGTGAATTGGGTGATGCTTTATTCCACAGGTTTTTGCTGATAACACAGAATTAATAGAAGAGTAGCATTTAGTGCTTTTGGTAGAATGTACATTGATACCTCTAAGAAGATTCCATTTTTGCTGTGGGTCATGTACCATGGAACTTTATGATATAATAATGGTGGGTTTCTCATTTTGTCATATTTATACCCATTGTAAGATGTAATATCATAAAAGACAAATACATGTGATAAAAGGCATGAAATCTCTCATGCTGGAACACCATTTGAAAAAGAGTGAATTGACATATGGTCTGCACTACAATATAAAACTATAAATGCTCTCTCTTCCAACAACTAGTGACATTGTTCAGATTTGTGCCTTCACGAAATCAGAATCTACAGATATAACCCCATGAATATGTTCTGCAACATCAACAGTGAATGTCCTACTTTATCCAATATAATGTTCCATGCAATAGCAAAACAAATGGGAGCAAAATGCTATTTTGAGAGGTAAATGCTATGATTTATACTTCATTCAAGAAAAGTGAAGCTAAGATTGCTGACATGTTCCTTAACACCATTAAAAGATATTGGTACCATCTTTGACTTGGCAAGTTGGAATCGTTGATCTCCACATGAGTGTTGCAAACTTTTGTATTACAGTTATTTATTTACTTGATATTCACAATCTTTGATTAATTTGTGCTTCTTTTTGGTGTTTTAGATCTATGATTGACATCACTTTTTATCTTCACGTAATGATTTGAACACACCCTTTGCAGCCTTTTTCACTGAAATGGGTTGTCATCTCTTTTTTTGAATATGTTCCATATCATCTGCCAAAGCTTTATTGTCATTGTCTATGTTGGATTGATTGCCTTCCCTTAGCTGGGGAAGTGAGAGATGTACACTATTTGTGCTATTTAATAGGTTTCTATTTTCTCTTCAACATATAAATTTTAATAGTTTTGTTTTCCTCTCGAACATATAAATTTTCTATAGGTTTTGTATGGATATCCTGTGAAGTACAAGGATCAAGCTTTGCTAATGATGCATGAAATGCTTCAGTAGCTCGAAGGCTGGCCTCCCCATATTTAGGCCATATGCTCATCTTCATAGCTCCTGCAGACGTTGATGATGACTTTCATGGTGGTACTCATGCTACTTTAGGAACTCTAGCTGATAGAGATTGAAAAGTGGCAATGTAGAGCAGGCACGGTGTATCAATTAAAAAATTCAAAAAAAAGAAATTCTTTTATTAATACCGGCAAGTCTATTTACATGAGCCACTTACAATAAAAAAAAAATATAAAATAAACTCATTGCAATGTAAGCATCCACTCTTACTTCCATGACTCTCAAATCTTGCATGGTCTCCCACTGAAATTTTGTATCGTGATACTATACACAAAATCATTAAAGAGAAGTATGGTGTCTCCGAGAAAATACCTCAAACATAGGTTCGTCAAAGCGCCAAAAAAACAGCACAAAAACTCTCAATCTGCATAGTGCTTCTAGTTGCTTGTAACATGTTATAGATGCTTCTGGAGGTGGATTGTTCTAATTATGAAGCCTTTGGCTCCCATATTCTTGACTCAAAATCAACAAAAGAAACATAAAGAAAAAACATATGGCAGCAAGATGTCCTACTCTAATACCAATAAAAGGTGGCAATGTAGAACAAGCAAGGTGTAAAAATTGAAAATTTCAAAAAAATTTATTTGATTGACACCGGCAAGTCTACCTACATGTTCCACTTGCAATGCAAAACATATAAAAATAAAACCTATTAGAATCTAAGGATCCACTTTTACTGCCATGAACATAAAACTTTATCATAAAAGAAAGGATAATTACAAGATAAAATGTGAATCAAGAAGTAGTGAAGCCTTTTACTGGAACAGAAAATGCCTTAGGATCACATCCAAAGGACTTGTGAAAATGCCTTAGGATCACATCCAAAGGACTTGCTTACGCCCTACGCCAGATCACCAAAGCGATGGATTTCTGATCTTATGGTCCCTGTTGAATTGGTAAAACCCTAAAGCTGTCGTGATAGTGAGCATAACTGAGAAATAGGCTAGGTGGGTAGCCCCACCCTAGGATACTAATGGGTGGGGCATGCCACCCTATGGGCTTCCTAGGTGGTGCGTGCCACCTTAGGATAGTTTAGGTGAGGTGTACCACCCTAACCTAGAGATAAAGAGAGTATGTAGAAAGAGAGTGGTAGAGAGACTGAGGTGATGGAATTGCTGAGTGGACCCCCAACTTATAGTGAGCTAGGGCCTAGGGTATGCGATCTTAGGTTAGGGTTCGTTGTGGACCATTGATCCATGGTGATCTGTGGGGTGAGGAGAGGATTTAATCTAAATCAGCCATCATGATAAAGGAAAGAATTCTAGGACCTGCATCCTTTAGCTTCGTTGATCCATTCTCTTCTAATCATAAAAGGATTAGGTTTGTCCGAAATACATTTCAATTGGGATTATACTAGTCTTCTAAAAGCTTTGTAATCCTTCTAGAAATCTAATTCAAGATTATCCCATAATTTCAAAATCCTGTTTCCAATAAACCTTATCCCATAATTTAGAAAATCCTAAACCTAACAAACCTCCCTTGGTTGACCTAGTCAACCCTATTCATAAGAAAGAGAGGGATGCATGGGTCTCATAGAGCGCTTTTGGGCCCATGATGGGGCCCCATGTGTGTGCCCTTGCGTTTTGGATCCATGTCGGTTCTAGAGATTTTCTAGTGCCCCAAACAATTTTTTCATTCCCTCAAAGTAATTGTAGAAAATAATTTGAATTTTTAATTCCAAAAATATTTATTTTGAATTAAAAATTCATAGGGCAAAAATAAAATATATAGTATTGTTAGAAGATTTATTTTTGTGTTTCATAATTTTTCAAAAATATAAACAAACAGAATTAGAAGACAATCGAATCCTTTGGATTAGGAATATGCGAATTACTAAGGCACTCTACCTAGGCTAAGACTATCTTCTCAAATTAACGCAATGGAGCCCATGGCCCACAGTCAATCGCCGGGGCTCATGATTGGTTCATCAAAATTTGCCAATAAATATTGGAGACTCGAGTCTAGTATGTGGATTATAAGTTCCCCCATAAGGCCAAGTTATGTCCCACATGGATATGTGCACAATATTGCAATAGTTCAGGGGGTCCTCTCTTTGGCACATATGCACATATTACCTGCTCGAGTCGCTTCCCATAATACATCTATCATGTGTACATGTTGTGCAGTGTTTGTTGAGGATTTGGCCCTTGCGCTCCAAGCCACCAACCACATATAGGAGATTGGTTACCTAGGTAAAACGATCCTAGACATCTCAGTCTTCAACAAGGGATTACTCTGGAAACCCTCTCTGATTGTACCTTATGTCTAAGGCCAAAGGGTTTTAGACTCATTTCCCCAACCTATACTTCCCATCTCGGGTGAGTCAACCAACCAAAAAAAAAATACCATCCTGGTCCTGTATCAATTATACTCTCACTAGAGTATATATCCATATGATCATGAGTTCTACATGCTTTCAAGGCCTTTGAAATCGACAACCTCAACAAAGATGTCACTATAAGCTATTGTTTAAGAACTTGGGAAATCACTCAGAATCGGCACCTTGCCGTTTCTGGATGGCCTGAGTCTGATCTAATTCTGGACTGAATGGAGCTCAAGTCTATCCCAGTCGTAATAAAATCAGCTAATGTTCTTAAAGAAACTTCTATGTTTCCATGACAAGACTTGCAGATCTGATTCGGGAGGTGGCATGTCGACCCATTTCATGCCCTGCCCATACCCAGAGTGAGTTTGGATTAATAAACACTATTAACTATGATGCTATTCCTACTTAATGACTATTTTTACGCGAAGCATAGTATCAATCAATCCACAGTCCAATCTTATGAAATTTTTTTTTTCTATCTTATTCATGGTGATTCCTCAAGTACGCAGTATGATTAGGTTTCCTTGTCATTGGTTCTGTTCATGTTCACATGAATCCAAGTACTACTTGGGAAGATGTATGTCATATATATGATTGATGATTTTCTTGTGGAGAACTCGTGGATCCATGTTCATATGAGTGTTGGCTTGAATATGTTGTTTTCGAACTTGTATAGAAGGGGATAGGAAAGGAAGTGAGACGGATCCCCTACTGTTCAGGGCTCTTTTTCCTGAAACATAGCTGAATTTAAAGTGTCATTGAAGGAATTGTACTTGTCATTTACATGGAAAAGATATGGCATTATACTATTACATACAAGAATATCGGTGCACCTGGAACTGGGTTTCAGTCTGCAAAACCAGTTTGGTTCAAGTGAATCTTCTGAAACCTTATATTACGTTGAATGGGTCAAGTAACTCCACCATATATTTTCTAGAGTGTTGTGTGAAGAATATTAGTAATTGAACCAGGGAATTGCAATAAAACAAATTCTCAATTTCTTCATTTTCCCATTGCAGATTATGAATCCTTACATTATCTCAAGAAAAGACTTCTATAGCAAAGCTCATTTCTGATGTATATGTTTTTCAAACTAATTCTGCTATGGCATTTCATGCACAGATGAGAATTTTATTTCACGTCTATATTTTTGTACCTGTCTTCACATGGCAATTTGTAGCTATGTTGATTAACATTGTTTATAACAATCTAATGTGTAACAGCCATCATATCCTATATCATGTCTTGTATTACTCAAAAAATAAATTTATGATGCTCATTTTACATATAAATTATTCAACAATAACTGACCAACGACCACAATATACAAGGAAATGAGCTTTTTAACAAGTTGATTATGTGATGTGGCAGGTATGCTATTGTTCGTGATATGACCTCAGCAGGTCTTGGTTTAAACAAGTTTTGCTATGCCGGATTGATAACTGCATATAAAAATAAGGTGCCTGCAACGGAGGAAACAACAACAAAAGTAAGTCCACACGGATATTCCACTTAGAATTCTTCATTCCTCATCTTCTTTTCCTAATGGTCATCATTTTGTGCTTGTGATTTCTTGATTATATGTCTTTATGCATCAGGTCATTGAGCTTGTCAAGCAGTCCAAGGGGTGGTCATCTGTAGATGCTTCAAGTGAAATTGCGGAGAATGTGATGATGGGTGTTTCTGAAGAAGAACTTTATAATTTACCCACTGCAGAATTTGTTCATAGGCGTGCATTTTTGAACAGGCAAATGACGGTGTATCATGTCGCACTACATGCTTGTGCTGATTTGAAGAGTATGGAGGTATTATTTTATGGCTTTACCTCTAAATTTTCTTTTGTGTAAATAGCAAACATGTGGATTTAATGGAAAGAGCATTTTCTCGATCAATTGGCATCCCTCCTTTTTGTATTCATTTTATGACTACTATCATTTGCTATATGAAAATTTACTCCATTGTCTTATTCCAGTCCAAGCACTGATTTAGCTTTCATGATTTTCGTTTCTTAGACAGTTGTAGATTGAGACGATGTGAATGTCACACACAAAGTTGTCGAATTAGGCAAGGGATTTTATAACTTAAATTATTATTTAGGGCTTATAATGAGCAAAAGATAACTTTCAGATAGCAAGTAGAGTAGTCAGGCCCTATGTTTTGTGCTGATTAAAGATCATCTGTTTTTTGTATATTGCCTCTTTAGTAGGTTCTTTTATTGAATTGTTAATCTTCTTAGTATCGTTTTCCATTTATTTATGCCATGATTCTATTACTGTATCTTGCTTCTGTTTTTTTTGCATGGTATCTAGGATCCCCAAACCATTTTTGGCCCATTTTGGACAGACCATACAATCTCTAGTAGAACTCTTGTACTCCAGCCATTAGTGAATGGTTTAGAAGGTGTTTGGTCTGCTCAGTTATGCTCGCTTTTCTCCACTGCCTATTTGAAAATCACTGCAAATTGCTCCCAATTTTATTATTTCAAAAACCTATTTACCTCTTATTTCGAAACGAACCTTCTCTAGATCAAATTGGCAGTCTGAACTTGACCTTTATCTCAAATTGGCCTTATAGGTTGAGGGATTCGTAATTCCTGAACCATTGAGGAAATCATGGGTTTGTATTTGATATCGCTTGTACTGCTTCCATGCATGCATGTGCTATCTTGAAATTATAATAGTTGAAGTAGTTTCTTTGTTTTGATAATTGATTATGAGTGGCATCTGTTGTGAACGTTCCCAGACACTAGAAACAATTCTGGAGATGATGAAGCAGGACGGATATTCTGCTGATGTGTTTGTTGTGATGCAGCAGATGAGGTATCATTAGTTGTCAAAGCTTGTCTGAAAAAGAATATGTTTGTTGGTTTTGCAAATTGGGGCTGATGTATGGCTAGTTGCTTAGAAATTTTACTACTTCCAGATGAGGAAGAAGTATAGCTAGTTGTGCATGCTAGGCATAAACATAAATGGATTTGGATCTTGTATATTTATATGGAATCTTTTGTAGTTCACTGTATATACCTATTGTGAGTATCCTTTTTGTAAGGCTTGAATGCCTCAAAAACCTTGCAAACCTGTAATATATAGACTTAGTAGGTTTAAGAAAATTCTCTTTCCCATAGTTTTTACAATCTGTATAGTATGTATTCATTCATGAATGTTCAACTTGATGGAAGTTTGTTTGTGACAAGATTTCTATTCTGGTTAATTGTTTTCTTGTGACTTGTTCAACTAGATTTAATACAAGTCATATTTATTAGTGTCGTCGACCATGGAGCAGCGATTGGACAGAGGCTCATTTGTACCATAACAGTTCTACCATAACCACAGGAAACAAAGATAAAACCCTTGAAACATTTTGGTAATGAAAATTTTTATATTTAAAGGGAGGATCTTTGTGGATGCAGCTTGCGCGGGAGGATCTTGTTAGTGCCAAATGTCACCACGCACCTATCTTCATATATTAAGCCACAGTTAAGGGTAGGGACACATGGCATTCAGCAAGAGTATGACCCTATCAAGAGATAGACTTTAGGTTAGGAAATAAAGGTGCTGTGCATTATTAACTATCATAAGAGTAGAACCACCACAGAGCAGAGGGTGGAAGATAGGCATCTACTCGTGTGCCAAAGCACCAGAAACCACACATTATTCCCTGAAGATGTTTTCATGGGAGTATAAGGGGTCTCTTAGACCCCAAAAAAAGAGAGCTGCAAGAACTGTGGCCAGCACGGCACTAATAGACATCATGGTTTTGTTAGATAGCAAGATGGACAAACCAAATCTGTCAAATATTAGATCAATTTGGGTCAATGATCCCAAAGAGTGGAGGTTATTCCTGCGGTGGTGCCTGAGGTGGGTGGAATTTGGATGGTGTGGGGTCCATTCATCCTGAAGTGGGTTAACTGTGACAAAGCAAGGTGGTCTGCTTTCGTGGTCTTCGAAGGGCTTCAAGTGGCTATGTTCACAGTATATGGTCCTAATAGGGCAAGAGAATGGACATAGTTTTGGATGGAACTCAACAATGCTAGTGCAAACTTCAAAGTATCCTGTTGTGTTGGTGGGGATTTTAGTGCATGTTGATGGTTTCAAAAAGAACAAGGGATGAAAGTGAGCAGCAAGCATGGAGGGGCTTGAGGTTTATCAATACTATTGATTCAATAGTCATGAATTGATGGAAATCTCTCTTGTGGGTGCCCAGTATATGCATAGCCAACCAATGTGAGACCAATCCTGTCTTAATTAATTTGGACTGCTTCCTCATTTCCCCAAAATGGGATGCCCAGTTTCCTGAATCATATCTGTATGCCTTACTTAAGACAATTTCAAATCATGTGCCTATAATATTGAACAGAGAAATAAATTGGGGGTCCAAGGCCCATCAATTTTGAATTGATGTGGCTTGGTGATAGGAGGCTACATGTTTTAGTTGAGTAGTTGTGGATCTCCTTCAAGATCAAGGGCTTGACTGGACATAGACTATGTGAAAAACTACAGTCCTTGAAACGCAAACAATGGGCTTGGAATAGGGGGTCTTTCGGCAATGTCCTGGAAAAGATAAAGGGTTCATGAAGGTGATTGAAAACTAGATAGAGCAGAGGAGGAAAGCAAGGTGTCTTTGTAAGAAAGTGGGCAAAGAAGCAGGGTGAAAGTTTAAGTCTCAGATAGTCTAAGAATGGAGGAAATACACTGGTACCAAAGAGGGAGAAAGGAATACCAAGTTCTTCCATGCTACAACCAGCTATGGAGTAATTTGATCAATAGCATATCAATAGCTGGGAAAAATCGCTATGGGGTAGAGGGGACAGAGAGGGCTATAGTTTATCACTTCCTAAATGCAAATAGATAAGAAAAGGCCTAGTTCAGTGATGGAAAATATCCCCTCAACTAACTATTCTAGGAGAACAAGGACCGGCTGGAAAGGTCCTTTGATGAGAAGAACCTAGAAGGGAAGTATTCAGTATGAGATGAGATAATGCACCTGGGTGGCAGCGAGACTTAGAGGAGTCCTCTCTCAGGTAATTTGTCCATATCAAGTAGCCTTTGCCAAAGGCAGGCAAATTTCAGTGGGGATCTTAATAGCCCATGAATGCATACCCTCAAGGAATAGTGAAAAATCTCCTCATGTGTAAGAGCACTTCTTTCTATTCTTTTTTGAACTACTTGTAAGAGCACCCGACTTGTGGGACGCTCACACCCACACCTCATGAGTTTTTGTAAAACTTATCATATTATATATTTATATGAAATTGTCTACAAAAGAGACCATTTACTTTTTGTACAAAGAGGTCACAAATCACAATCATTATTGTCCTTTAAATTTCAAACTTGGTGGTTGTAAGAGTGTCATTGAATAATCACAAAGTTCCAAAAAAAAATATCAAACTTTACGACTCACTTCAAGCCATCCAATTTGACATGTAATGAGTGGGAATAGTTGTGACATCCTTGTAATAAAGGTATATGGGGTCTCTTTGTAGACAATCTCTATTTATATATATATATATATATATATATACATATCTATTGTCACATATTTGAAAAAAAAGAAGGCATACGATAGTTTGGACTGGGGTGTACTAGAGGATACAATGAGGTTGTTGGGCCTTGGAAAGAAATGGAGAAATTGGAAAAGCTGGATGTCCGTGACCACTTTTTGATTTGTAATTACGGATTCCCTAAGAGTTACATTTTCCAAATTCAGAGAAGGGGACCCTTGGTTTCTATTTCTATTATCAATAGTGGCTGAGCCATTTAGTAGAATGCTGGTTGGGGTGTTTGATGTTGGCATGCTCTCTGTCTTCAAGACCCCAGCAAATTGGGCCCTATAGTGTTACGTCAGCAGTCCACGACACTCGGATATTCTCGCTGCTAGTGTTGACCAAAATGCAGAGGTTGTGGCTCTTTTTGAGGTGCTTTAAGGTGGCATTTGGTAGCAAAGTTAATGTATGAAGGAATACCCTGTTTTGGCTGCTGGTCCCCCGTGAAGAGATGGAAATTCTCATCAGGTGTGTAAGCTGCAAGATGGATAACCTTCCTACTAACTGCTTAGGCTTACTATATGCCTTTGATAAGCCATCTAAAACGCTGTGGGGAACTGTTGTAGATAGGCTTGATAAGAATTTAGCAGCCTGGAAGACTAGGTTCCTATCATTGGGAATCATGATTACCCTAACAGAGTGCTCCTTATCTAGCCTGCCCATTTACTGCACGTCTCTATTTTCAATCCCTTCTTTAGTGGCAAACAGCCTAGAAAGGCTAGAAGGTCCCTAGGTTCAGGATTGTCACCGATGGACTAAGTTCCCAATATGTTGCAGAGCTCGAACCCAACTTCTAGGGATTTAATGATGAATTCTACAGGTTCGAGCCCCATCTGGTTAAAAACCGAGGTCCTTGATTACACTTGACTAGGGTTCCCTGAGTGGGAGCATAGTTTGTTTAGTGCAGTCCTTATAATGTTAAAAATAATTAATGAGTTTTTTATTAAAAAAATGTAAGAAATCCATTTGTTCTATATTAATTTATTATCTATGAACTCCATTGAAGGGGAAGTTCTATAGGATGATTTAAGACCAACTATACTTTATAGGACAAAATGTTGGGCGGTCAAGAAACAATATATCCATAAAGTGAGTGTAGCTGAGATGAAGATTTTGAGATGGATGAGTAACAAGACTAGGAAGGATAGATTTCGGAATGAATAAATTCGAGGGAATTTCAGGGTGGCTCCAATATAGGCAATAAAATGAGGAAAATTAAACTTAGGTGGTTTGGTCATGTGCAACATCGACATAGAGCAATATCGGTTATGAGGGTGATTTGGTTCAAGTAGAAGGCACTAAAAGGGCAAGGGAAATGCCTCAAAGGACATTAATGGAAGTAGTGAAAAAAGATATGGTGACTTATGGTTTGATTGAGGGTATGGCCCTTGATAGAGAGGAATGGCAGAACAAGATTCGTGTAACCGACCCAAATAGTTGGGATAAGGCTTGGATGATAATGATAATGGAGTGGAGTTTATATTTTACTCAAGTAATAAAGTTGAAAAAATTGAAACTTTATAAAAAAATTATGAAAATTTCATTCTATGGTATTTTAATTTTTCATTCTTTGAGTGTAGTTCGTAACTTTATGAATGTAATAACAATCATTGCAATCCTTCTTTGTTGAATAAATAAGTAACAAAGATGCATATTAAGTTGAAGCCCAAGGTAAATCATGACCTATTAAAGAGGCTAAGAGGGACAATATAGTCTACCACCATTGGAAATCACATATGTGAACAGAACATGCAACTAATATTATATTGTATTTGAAAGTTTTTCGAATGAGTTGTTACTTCGGTATTATGTTGAAGCTCAATGTTCGAACTTGTGACCTATTGAAGAGGCAATGAGGGACATTAGAGTCTAACACTAAGGTAATCCTGATCCCATGTTGTGTAACTCAGGATCTCAATCCCTAATAAAAAGGATCAAAATCCCAAAGTCTGAAAATCTAGAGGAGTGAAATCCCCTTCATTGGAGCATAGGATCGAGCTTCTGGAGCAGAACTGGCCCCTTGGTTGAGAGATCCTAGTAACTATGGAATAAAGCACAGAGACTGAAGTCCGAGGGGGGATGAGTATATGGATAACTACGGACAAACTTGGTTCACTAACTAAATGGTGGTGCAGACTCGGGGTTCAGAGAGACCGCGTATGGAAAGAGGTGGTGGAATGTATGGGATGGGGGAGGTTTCTTGGCTTTTGAGGAAAACAGATGCAAGTAGAGGCTTTTATGTATATAAAAAGGGATAAAAACTGCCAATCTCACCACAAAGATAATGTTAGACTACTGGTAAGGAATGGAAGGCTTACTGGATTCTGGTTGGAGAAACGGACTGGAACACAGCCCCTGGGGAGTAGATATCCACAATTATTTGCTTCAGCAGTGAACAAAAATGTCCCAGTGGACAGGGTGGTAAATGGTGAGGGACATAAGCGAGTTGGTTACCGTGTTTAAGAAGAGATTTGAAGGGTGATGAGTTTAGGGCTTTTAGTGAATATGTTACAGGAGTTGCAGCAAGTATTCTTTCAGTCCAATAGGGATGACGAATTAATATGGTTCCTGATCGCAAAGGGTATTCTCACAAGTTATCATGTTCTTACCCACTCAACTGAACGAGGTGGTTCTGTATTCAGGGTGTGTCTATTCCTGGAACGCCCAAGATACTGGCAGTCATGTGGCTAACGACCCTTGATGAAGTACTGAAAATTGATCATCTCATAAATAGAGGTATAGTCATTCCAAATATATGCTAACGCGTGAACAGAGTGCTGAGACAGTTAACATTTATTTTTACAGTGTCCATTTGCTACTGAGGTCTGGTCATTTGCTTTTGGATTTGTATGGGTGCACCCAGTATCAATGTTGTAGCAGCTAGTCCAGTGGCTTACTCCTTCAGTGCCCAAGGCAGGAGTAGTGCTATAGCGCTTAGCTATGATCATATGGCTGGAGAGGAATGATTAATTTGTCAACGAATGGTTCAATGGAGTTGAAAGAGTGAAGGACCGAATCGAAACTACTGTCATTTCTAGGGCCAGAGGATGAAAAGAATTTTAGGGTTACTTCATATTAGATTTCATAATGAGTGAAAAGGTATAGCATCAGAGAGAACAGCCATAAATATTCGACCCAAAAGATGGACTCCGCCGCTTGCTGGTTCAGTTAAATTGAATTTCGATGGATGCTCCAAAGGTAAACATGGGTGTTGGGGCTATAGTAAGGGATCGTGAAGGAGAGTTTTGATGACATACTCAGCCCCTCTACATGATATGACTGAAGCAAGGCTGAAGCATGGCCCTCTCAGTTGGCTTGCAAAGCATAGATCAGAAGTGGCCAAATTTAGTCAAAACAAAGGACTCTAGAAGCATTATTAGCTGGGGCCACGGCCATGAGACGTGCCCATGGCATGTAGATGCTGTTTTTCAGGAAACTAAGACTGAGAAAATCCAGGTTTCTGTAACCCACACTTAGAGAATCCGTGGAAGCAGATAGTTTAGCATGTGAATGAGTAACTAAGCCAGGGCTGTTGGTTAATTTTTTTGATCAACTGTGAATGGAGCCTATTATATAGTTGCTCAAATTTGTAAAGCAAAGGATACACTGACATTTGCCTTGTCAAAAAAAAGGAGACACTGACATTTTTACATTTTTTTGATAAAACATTAATTTTGAAATTAAGTAATACAGTAAAAAATCCAAAAAAAAGGTCACGACAATAACAGAAACATGCATGACGCATGCCTCTTTCTAGTAATGCTTATCTTACACTCATGAGATTGCCTTTATGGGACTGGGGCTTGGGAGACTTTGCCACTCCAACTGCTTCCTTGTACTGGCTTTAAAATTTAGGGAATTACCACAAGTATCACTTTCTAATACTAGGTTCAGCTGGAAAAAGAGAAAATTTTCAACTCTTTTTTTTTTTTTACATTAATTTGGTTTTGTTTCTTTTTTTCTTTTTTTCCAGAACTGAATTTTCATTGAATTATTTGAGTTGTTTTTCACCTGGCTTAGATTCAGTCTATGATTGCGTCTTTTCTTGCTTTTATATCTCAAATAGGTGTTATTTGCACTGTGGGGACCTGGATCGTGGTGTTAGGATTTTTGAGGACTACTTCAATTCTGGAAAACCACCTATGATAGAGTTATACGTGGTATGTTTACTTCCCCAAGTCTTACATAGCTAAATGTCTCTGTTTTTTTTGATAAGTCATGGTCAAAGGATACTATTTGAGATTTCCTTATTAAAGAATCTTTTGATAGTTAAGATTTCAGTGCATAAAACATAAGAAGTAAATTAGTAATGTGGGTTTTACTTGTCAGTTGATCTCATCTATGACTGGATGGATTTGCAATAAATCTAGAGGATCTATGAATGTTTATGTCCTTGGGTTAGACTTATTAAAAAGCTCAAATTCTTTATCTACTTTGCACCATTCTGGTGCAATTGATGCGTGCCTTTATTGTTTCTCAAAAATGAAAGAGAAAATGGAAAAACAAATGTGGCCTGCCTGTTGAAGTGTTGGAGGGATGCACATGTGCACTGTAATTGATTTAAAGTTGTATTTTTTTCTCTGAAGGGCTGATTCTCTTGTATAAACAATAAAGGTTGCACTTTTTGGATCGCAAGGTGATGCGAGGTAACCAATCAGATCTGATATGTATTTCGTCTGAGTGTCTTACTGTCTACCTCCATTAGTTTGATCAGCTTCTTGAAGCACTAGATTAGAAGCAAATCTCTATGCGGGCCCGACTGATTCTTGAAGCTGAACAATATCTGGTCTGATGTGTTGACTGGCTAGAATGGACAATAATAAATGATTAACTAGAAGTAAGCTTTTGATAGATATTGATCATACAAATGACTACTTCAGTTGATGTCATCAGAGAGTTGAGCAGCTAGTGAACTGTTTGAAACCCATTTGCGTCTAGCAGACTTTTCGTTGGTTAATTGTTTGCCTATATTTGTTGGGTTGGGTGCCTTCCATAATGGTGGCCACGTTGGGGCTGTTTACCGCCATATCAACCTAGTGGATTTGCTGATCCTATCTAGTATTTGATCAGTGGTGGACTGAAGTGGAATTCATAACTGATATGTGAGTGTTGAAAAGGAATTCTGGGTAAAACTAGCTTTATTCTTGTAGAGAAGGGCATATACAACATACCACCTTTGTTAGAAATAAAAGGAATAAGCTTTATTGTATTTGATAGAAAAACTGTCATTCATCTTTTGTTTAGTCCTTATTTGTCTTATATCTTTAAACAAGGCAGTATTGTCAATAAGTTGTAATTAGGGCTATTACTTAATGTTATAAGAATGGTAGAGATCACAGCCCGACAATTAGTAAGGATGACACTGTAGCACAATACTATAGCATGGTATTGTAGCACGTTAGTGTAGCAAAATACTGTAGCAAGGGTTGATCTTCAAAAAGGTGTGCAAGAACTGTGTTTTGGGCTGACATCGTCCTTTGGGTTAGATGATGTCAGCATGCCCTAAAACCTCAACTTTCAGTATCTATGCCAATGGAGGTGAGTTTTTTTTTTTTTAATGATTTTGGATGCTGATCAAGTATTTATTCGAAAACCTAGTTGTTGGATGGATTAAGGTTTGTATTCCGCAATCAAAGAAGTACTGTTAGTGTTGTTTTTTGACCTTTTTCTGTAAAAAAAGGAGTGTGATCAGATCTAAGGGTGTAACCAGATCTGTAACACCTTTTATTTGAAGAGATGAATGGGTGTAATTTGATCTCAATTGTTGATTAAGATTTGAGTGAGTAACCGGATCTTAAATATAGTAGAGAATGTCTCCACAAGCGTCAGATATGAAGTCACCTGGACCCCAAATTACTACAGTTAGGCTTGATGGAACCAACTATTTAGAAGGGGCTAGGTCGGTTAGACTATTTTTGGGTGGAAAGAAAAAATTGTGATATATTAATGGCCGTGAGGAAAAACCTGATCTGAAGGATGCTGAATATATAGACTGGGAGGCTGATGACATGGCTATTATGAATTGGATACTATTTTCTATGCAGCCTAATATGAGTCACCAAAACTTGACGTGAAAGGTAACTGTGCGAGGTCAAGTTTAACTAATGAATTTCTGTATTATATCTTGCTAAAAGATATCCTACTCCCTCAGGAGCATACTGTCCATTTATTCCCTCGGTTAAAGCCCCACCTAGGATTAGTTTTTACCCCAAATTTTGAGTATATTATCTCTTTAACTGTTTAACACATAGATTGACCTCAATAAAAAAACAAATTTCCTAATTGCAACCTCTTAAGTACTTGAAAAAATAATGTCTCAAGATTTGAATAGAAACGTCCAATTTTTGGAAGGTGAGATCTAAATGTTGGAAACTCTTGTTTTGTTTTTTTGGAGAATAATCATCTGGTGATTCTTAGGTGGTTGCCTAGATTTCAGATTGAAAAATCCTCCTGAGTAGATCATCTGACCGAGGGTGTAGAAGCAAACTATTCTTCTGAGGGAGCATTGTATACGTGCTCTTATACCTTTGTCTTTTGAGCAATTCACTTCTGTCCTTGAGAAACACATAATGTAGTTGGGACTTCTAATTCATTTCTGAAATGTGGCATTATGGCCCATGAGCTGAACGTGTTGAACCATCACCCCAAGTATGCGATCCCTGCAACTGAGGACTTGGGTTCTACCATGGCCACACTTGTGAAGAAGGTTGAAAACCTAAAAGCATTATCAATGGGCCTAGATTGCTCATATATTGAGATGGTAGGGTTTCAAAGCCTACCAGAGGTGTCACATATACAAATGGAGATATATAGAAGTTTCGATTGAATCAGCTAGAATCTTATTTTTGTGATACCTTGCAACTGCAACTCCAGTTCTCATGACAGTCATATTTGCTGACGATTGTAGCCTAATACCAAGCTGAGCTAAAATGATACAGCATACGACTTACAATGAAATATTTTATGGGTTTAAATTTAATACAACCTTCTCTGCTGTAATATGGAAAACATAATATAAGGAGAACGGTTGTCAGGAGCTTCAGGCCTGGGGCTTATATGCTTTTCTGAAATTGATAAATTGCACATGCAATGACGGAATACCCTTATTGGCACTTGTTCAACGAAATACTCCATAATGAGTTGTAATTACAACAGTTCAAGAAAAGGGCATATAGATAACAATGCGTGTCAGCTTGGATAGAAATATGTAATGTAATGCATGGATTTACACACACACACACACACACACACACACACACACACACACACACACACACACACACACACACACACACACACACGACACACTACACCTACCTAACTAATAATAACTATACGTACTTACTTACGTAACGTAAAAGTTAAAGTTTAATTTTAATTTAGTTTATTTTTATTTTTTACTTTTTTTACTTTACTTTACGTACCGTACCCGT